AAGAAAATTAAAATACCTAGGAATAAACCTAACCAAGCAAGTAAAAGACCTGTATTCAGCAAACTACACAACATTGAAGAAAGAACTAGGAAAGACACAAACAAATGGAAACACATACTGTGTTCATAAATTGAAAGAATTAACAAAATTGGAAGAATTAACAAGATCATCAAAATGTCCATACTACCCAAAGCAATTTATAGATTCAATGGATTCCCTATTAAAGTACCAAAGACATATTTCATAGATATAGAACAAATACTTCAATAATTTATGTGGAACCATAAACAACCCCAAATAGCTGCAGCAATTTTGAGAAAAAAAAAAAAAGAACAAAGTAGGAGAGATCACAATGCCTGATATCAAACTGTAATACGAGGCCACTATAATCAAAACAGCCTGGTACAAGCATAAGAACAGACACATATAGACCAAGGAACATAGCAGAGAGCCCAGGAATAAACCCAAGTCTCTACAGTCAATCAATATTTGAAAAAGGGTGCAGCAACATAAAATGGAGCAAAAATAGCATCTTCAACAAACGGTGTTGGGAGAGGCTATTTTGCAGTTACGTGCAAAAAAAAAAAAAAAACAAAAAACAAAAAAAACTTGACCACCAACTTACACCATAGTCAAAAATAAATTCAAGGTGGATAAAATACTTGCATATAAGTTGTGACAGCATAAAAGTCCTTCAGCAGAACATAGGAAGGAAAAATCTCAGATAATCCACAGAGCCATTTTTCTCTGATATGTCCCCTAGAGCAAGGGACATAAATATAAGAATAAACAAATGGGATCTCATCAAAATAAAAAGCTTCTGTACAGCTTCTGTACAGCTGCTGGAAGCCACCTAAGTGCCCATCAGTAAATGAACAGATCAAAAAATTATGGTACATTTACACAATGGAATATTTCTTTCTAGTCCCTTCTTGCCTGTAAGGATTTTTTGAGAAATTAGCTGATAGTCTTATGGACACTCCATTGTAGGTAACAGCTCCTTTTCTCTTGCTGCTCTTAAGATCCTCTCCTTATCTTTAATCTTACATAATGTAATTATGATGTGCTTTGGTGTGTGTTTCCTTGGGTCCAACTTCTCTGGGACTCTCTGGTCTTAGATTTCCTAGAAGTCTATTTCATTTGCCAGATTGGGGAAGTTCTCCTTTGTTATATTTTCAAATAAGTTTTCAAAAATTTCTTGCTCTTCCTCTTCTTCTGGCACCACTATGATTCAGATGTTGCAATGTTTAAAGTTATCCCAAAACACATTTGCCAGTGATACCTCAGATAAGGGTCTGATCTCCAAAATATATAAAGAAATCACACAACTCCACTCCAAGACAACAAAAACTCAATTAAAAATGGGCAAAAGCCTTGAAGAGACACTTTTCCAAGGAGGACAGACAGAGGGCCCAGAGACACATGAAAAGATGTTCAGCATCACTAGCCATCAGAGAGATGCAACTTAAAACCACTGTGAGATATCAGTTCACACCAGTCAGAATGGCCCCTCATAGACAAATCAATAGACCAGTGTTGGAGAGGAAGTGGAGAAAAGAGAGCTCTAGTGCACTGTTGGTGGGAATGCAGACTGGTGCAGCCATTATGGAAAACAGTATGGAGTTTCATCAGAAAACTAAAAATGGAACTGCTTTTTGACCTGGCAGTTCCACTGCTGGGATTATAGCCTAAGAACTCTGAAACACCAATCCATAAGAACCAATGTAACCCAATGTTCATAGCAGCACAATATGCAATAGCCAAGTGCTGGAAGCAACCAAAGTGCCCATCAATAAATGAATAGATTTAAACATTGTGGTACATTTACATGATGGAATACTAGGCAGTAGAAAGAACAAATGAGCTCCTACCCTTTGTGACAGCATGGATGGATCTGGAGAGCCTTATGCTAGGTGAAATGAGCTAGGCAGTGAAAAACAAATACCATATGATTTCACCTTTAATTGGAACCTAACCAACAAAATAAACAAGCTAGCAAAATATAACCACAGACATTGAAATTAAGAACAATCTTACAGTAACCAGAGGGGAGATGGGAGGGGATAATGGGGGGAAAGGAGGGAAGGGTTTTCAGGAACAGCTATAAAGGACACATGGATAAAACCAAGGGTGGAATGGAAGTAGGGGAGGGAGATGAGGATGGCTGGGGTAGGGGGGATGGTGTGGGGAAAATGCAGACAACTGTACTTGAACAACAATAAAATAAAATAAAAAGAAACACTGCTAAACAACAAAAAAAATAAAGTCCCAGAAGTTCCTCAGGCTCTCCTCATTATTTTGAATTCTTTTTTCTTGATGCTATTCTGGTTGAATGTTTATTTCTTCCTCCACCAAATCGTTGATTTGAGTTCCGGTTTCCTTCCTGTCACTGTTGGTTCCCTGTGCATTTCCCTTTATTTCAGTTTGCATAGGCTTCACTTTTTCTTCTATTTTGTGACCATACTCAACCAGTTTTGTGAGCATCCTTATTACCAGGGTTTTGAACTGTGCATCTGATAGGTTGTCTATCTCTTCATAGCTTAGTTGTAGTTTTTCTGGAGCTTTGATCTGTTCTTTCATTTGGGCCATATTTTTTTTTTATCTTGGCACACCTGTTAGTAATAAGGGGAAGAGCCTTAGGTATTTGCCGGGGGGTGGGGGGGACTCACTTCACTGGTTTGTGGTTCTGTATACAGGTGAAGGGTCTTAAAGGGAACAATGCCGCTTGCTTATCTCTCTGCCAGCTTTTAGTCAACTTCCTGTGCTACCCAAAAGCAAATCGGGCCCTCTGGTGCTGATTCTCAGGTGGGTGGGCTTATGTATGTTCTTGGACCCTGTGGGTCTCTTCAACAAACTCTCCTGTGTGGCTGGAATTTTCTCCTGCCATCTGAATCCCCAAAGGTTTTTTCAGTCAGAGATTTTGAGGCTTTATTTCTCCATGCTGGAACCCTGGATTTTGCCACCTGTCTTGCTCCACAGTGGTTCCTTCTGGTTATCTGCATGCAGATGAGGGACTACCTCCTCAGCCAGCCACCACCTTGCCTACCCTGATCCTCTAGCCTGCTGTGAGTCCTCTCCACCCCAGCTGCCATCTCTGCCCCTCCTAGCAGTCTGGATGAATGTTTCTTCTTTAACTCCTTGGTTTTCAGACTTTCATGTAGTTCAATTTTCTGGCAGTTCTGGTTACTTTTTGTTTTTACATTTGTTGTTGAACTTTTGGTTGTGTAAGGAGACAAAATATACCTATGCCTCCATCTTGGCTGGAAGAAAAACTACTATCAAGTTCTTAATGGGTGCCTTTTCTTTCCTACTTACCCCTTCTTCCTACAGTAGTTATGCCTTCTTGAAGCTGCTCTGAGGTCTTGAACAGTTTTAAGTCACTTGTTTTTTTTATACCCTAGTAGCTTGTGTTTTAATGTCCTAGATCTTAAACCTGCTGCTTTCAGTATTTTTTATAATCAAGTGGGATTTTCTCTTACTGGATTTATTTTATATTTGTTCCATCAGCCCTAGGTTATCCACATTTCTCCCTTCCCTTTCCATTTCCTTTCTCACCTTCCTTCCCTTCTTCCCCTCTTCCTTCCTTCCTGTCTTGCTCCACACTCTTGCTTGTCTCTTACCATAGGACTAGGCTTTGCAGTTAATTTTCTGGATTTGAGTATTTTCCTACTTACAGGTAATTTAAATTAATTGTACCTGTCTTTTACTTTTGATGAAGGATTATGGGTGATTTTATTAGTTTATGTTTTTTATTTATATGTGTTTTTGAGAAATCATGGAGAAATTTAGATTTAGGCAACTACCATTAATCTCTACAGCCCAGAAGTCATTACATTCATTTTTGAGGAATATTTTCACTGGGTATAGAATTACAGATATAAACACCTACTGGGCCAGCATAACTTTCCAATATTCTTATTTCTTTGGATTTTTAGCTTCACTTCTTGACTCAAATAGTATCTACTGAATTATCTAGCTTTTCTTTTATTTCTAGGTTGGAAGTATTGGTATGTCATCAGGTATTTTATCCTGTCTGGATGCTCATATTAGCTTATACCTTAAGGATAAGAGCTAAGGCTTCATCTTTAATCTTAAACTTTATCTATAACATCATGAATTTTTGCAATACTTTCATTAATATCTAAAACCTACTTTGTTAGAGACTTGTAGACACCCCAGGTTTGATAGTTTGCTAGGAAGACTCATAGGACTAGAATATAGTTGTATTCATGGCTAAGATGTATTTCAGGAAAAGGGTGTAAAGCAAAATCAGGAAAGGGAAAGGGGAAACAGGGCACATGCTTCCAAGTGTCCTTTCCTGGTGTGGTCTCATAAGATATGCTTAATTCCTTCATCAATAAATTGTGTCAGCACATGTAGAATGTTGTTTTCTAGAGAACCTCATTAGAGACTGTGCTTACGTGTTTTATTAGAGGCTGTTCATGTAGACGCCCTTTGCCTAGCATGTACTAAAATTTTAGACTCCCAGAAGGAAAGGGGGCATTCAGCATAAACTGTTTGTTAAAACAGGTTAGGCACAATGAGCCATTCTTGTTAGTGAGGATGGTGGGAACCCTCTTGAAATATACATTTCCAGAAGCCAGCCAAGGACCAACATGCAAGCAGGGCTTTTCCAGGAGAGCAGTTTAGTTCTGTTAACTCTTCTCTGCAATATCTACCTTGCCAATCACTTACTCATCTTGCTAGTAAGAGTTGTTTGGTATCTAAAATAGGTCAGCACTGTCATATCTAATATAACCAGTGAGGTTTCTTCTCAGCAAAACTCTTACAATTAATCAGCAGTGAGGGAAATAAAATTATTCTTAGAAAATTATACTTCAGGAAGATAGCAAAATTCTTCTCATTTTAAATTAAAATAATCAAAATGCCAATGTGCTATAATGAATCAATTTTCTTCCTTTATTAATTTTTATTAATGGGCAGAATAAGTGACTGAAATGACTGTGTAAAGGAATTATATATTCACTCTTTTCTTTTAGCCTAAGAAATCTGTCAAGGTACAACCTCGCCCACCTATAGCTCCTCGATCTTCTAGTAGTTCCACCGCAGCTGTTCGGCACAGATTGTTAAGAGTTCTCCCCCACATTGGGCAGTCTTGTTTACCTTCTCCTGGGAATGTATATCTACCTGAAACATCCTGCAATGCAATTTCAAGTTTGGCAACTCTGCCCCCTGCTGATAGACCCCTAACATCTATAACTAGTGATTTTTGTAAGGAAGATGATAACTGGGAGAGTAACACACTATCTCATTCCAATGGCAACATCAAACTACCATCTCAGATAACCCACGTGGAGTTCAAAAATGACAAAGAGTTTGCTGATTCTTTTCTCCATCTTGGATCATACCTGCCTAGGCGGACACAACAATTTTCAGGAAATTTGTCATCTAATAATGAGGATGACACTATTTTATTTCCAACTTCTGAAGAGTTTGTAACTGAAAAATCACTTCTACCTGAAGTGAGTTCGTTTGCTTTGTTTACAGAAGGAAATATTGATGAACAGAGCAGCGCCTTAGAAAGCCCCCGGAAGGTAAATCCTGATTTCTTACTTACTAATGGTGATAAAGGGTTGAAAGCTACAGAGCAGCACCTTAAACATGTTGCAAGAGTGTTGAGTGGTGAATCAGTAGAGACTACAGTTCTCAACAACCATGAATTAAATCCTCACAAGAATAGACTCTTGTCACCTCTTCACTGTTCTACACCAGTGTCACTCCCTAATTCTCTGTTGAAACCACAGAGACAGTCCAAATGCTTTGAGTCTGGGAATCTGCAGTCTTCTGCTTCACAAAATGTGATTCAGTCATTGGATGTTCGAAATATAACTGATTCTTATTTCTCTAGGACTACTCGCTTTCGAACTGTTAAAGTTGATTCATCTGGAAAAAGATCCAATATTATTTCTAAAGTTGAGGCTCGGGACATCAGAGAAATGGCTAGCAAGGCTTCCAAAGAGCCTGTTGGTGGTATAAATAACATAGGTTTTTTTGCTTCGCTGGCCCAGAGTGCAAGCAGAGAAGGGTTACAGAGCACAGGTGGGGTAGGTAGGCTTCGGACCTCTGGAATTGGGCTGTTCACAGACCTCCAGCATTTTCAAGAAAAATGCATTAGGAAAAGTTCTCCCCAGTTAGAATCTACAGATTTTTTTCTAGTAAGTATTTTCCTTTCTATATGTTCTAGTAGTGGTTATCCTTGTAATGATTCAACATATTTAAAATTTATTTTTTGTTTACATAAATAAGGAGGCCTAAGGTTGACTTCTTTTAATAGTCTGTCTTAAAATGTTTATCTAGCTTGTAGAGAATCTTTTTGATAGGTGAATTTTAAATAATGTTTTAGTCCTAAATTGAGAACTGTAACTTGCAAATAATTTCATTTAAACAACTTATCACAGTAGTTCCCACCCCCCTTATCTATGGGGGATACATTTCAATACCTGCAGTGAATGTCTGAAACCACAATAGTACCAAACTTTATGTATACAATGCTTTTCCCGTACATATATATTTGTAGTAAAGTTTAATTTATATGCATAAATTAGGCACAGTAAGAGATTAACAACAACAATAATAAAACAGAACAATTATAATAATATAGTCTATAAAAGTTATGTGAATGTGGTTTCTCTTCCTCTCAAACTATCTTGTACTGGACTCACCTTTCTTCATTTTGTGATAATGTGAGATGGTACAATTGTCTACATTGTGAAATCACTTGACAAAGGGATGATTTCTTTCCTGGGGGATGAAGTGAGATTTCATTATGCTACTCAGAATGGTGTGCAACTTAAAACCTATGAATTGTTTATTTCTGGAATTTCCCATGTAATGTTTTTGGACTGTGGTTGACTTTGGGCAACTGACACTGTGAAAAGCAATACCATGGATAAGGGGGGAATGCTGTATTCTTAAATGCCATTTTTATTAATGATTTTCCCAAATGAGAACTTTTATTTCAGCTATCAAATTATACTCTCTTAAACATAAGTAATAAGCATGATATTGCTGAATGTGAGAATCAGTTTCCAAGTTAATTTAATTAAAATTAGATTAAATAAATAATTTTAAATAAAAGCCCAACAGCATTTTTGTAATAAAGTGCAAGTATTTCACGTTTGATATTTTTTTCTGTTTTCCATTAACTCACCTCCATAGATGTTTTGTGTTTTAATTGTAGCCTGCCCATGGTATTGGAATGAGTGGAAATAATACAGCAGCAGGGAAAAGAGTAGGTAAGCTACAGATAATTTTTAAAACAATTTAAGGCTAATAATCATATCATCATACATACTGTTGAATTTCAAAGAGAAATGAGAAGAACATTCTCTGTAGTATCTGCAGAGTAAGCCCTCCCTAAACTTTGTTTCATTCACTTAAGAAAATGATTATGAAAAGTGACTGTGGGACATTTTTGAAGAATAAAACTAAAATGAAATTTAGGTCTCTATTGTCTGGGAAGGGATATGGTCTATGAAAAGACAAGATGAATGAAGAATTAACCTGTAGTTTCCAATGTTCCCACTCACTGGATACTTTAGAGCCATGCTGGGCTGCTGGGTATGTTTCGACGAAGTACCCTAGAAAGTTGTTTCTTAACATTATGATCCAATATCAAGGATGGTAGTAAGAGTTCCCTTTGATGAACTGGTTGTTTCTGGATAAAAGAAAATGACCATTTCTCGGTCAGCCCTTACCAAGGAATAGTAGCAGAACCGGCTATAACATTAGCACTTCCTTCTACCAATAACACCTTAAATGGTCAGTGTGACCAGTCCTTATTTATAAGACAGCTAATATTAGCTATCTAATAATACATCTTTTGTGTTTTAATACCCAGACTTTATAATGGGAAACTCATTACAAAGATGTATCAAAGACACTGAAATAGAGAACAGGCTGACAGTGACCAGAGGAAAGAGGGGAGGAAATTTCAGGAGAAAAGGGGAAAGGTTAACAGGAACAAGTATAAAGGACGCATAGACAAAAACAAGGGGGGTGGTAGAAGTGGGAGGGAGGTGGGGAGAGCTTGGGGGATGGGCTGGGATGGGAGTAAAAGGCAGAAAACTATATTTTAACAATTATAATAAAATAAAATAAAATAGTAAAAATAAAATGACATACCACCTTTATAGCCCTGAGGTTATAAAAGTATATTTTGTATATTATGGTTGTTATATGAGTTCTATGTCCTTAAAGAGATACTTAGGGTTTCTTTTCTACTACTATATAAAGCTCAAGTTTCTACATTTTCAATGTGGTCACTTTTTAAACAATTTTTTATTGTAGTAAAGTACACATGACAAAATTTACTGTTTTAATCATTTTAAGTGTATAATTCAGTGCTTTAAGTACTACATTGACATTGTTGAGCAATCATTACCACCATCCACCTTGAGAACTCTTTTTATCTTTAAAAACTGAAACATTGTACTTATTAAACACTATGTCCTAATTTACCCCTCCCTCCAATCCCTGGAAACCACCATTCTACTTTGCTTCTATAATTTTAACTACTCTAACTACCTCACATAATTAAAATCATACAGCATTTGTCATTTGTGTTTGGCTTACATTACTTAGCATAATGTTAAGGTCCATCTGTGTTGTAGCATGTGTCAGAATCTCTATATTTTTTAAGGCTGAATAATATTCCATTGTATGTATATAAAATATTTTGCCTATGGGTGCATCTTTGGGTGGAAACATGTTGTTTTCATATCTGAACTACTGCTGTCATTATGGGTATACCAATATCCTTTTGAGACCCTGCTTTCAATTCTTTTGAGCATATACACAAAATTGGAATTGCTAGATCATAAGGTAATTCAATATTTTTTTTAAGGAACTGCCATACTGCTTTCTTTTTCTTTTTAATTTTTTCTATTGTTGTTCAGTTACAGTTGTCCCCATTTTTCCCCTCATTGTTCTCCCCTGCCCTATCCACCCTGTTGGGAACCACCCTGCCTGGTTTCAGGAGCTGTAACCCACCCATGGCAAAGGCTAAGTGAGCAACCTTCAGACCATAAGCCACTAAGGAGACAAAGCTTATCTCCATGGCAGGAGTGCCACTTCTGCTCCTTTTACTTCACCCTGCCTGGCCCCCAGTGCTTGATTGGTTAGCCAATTATGGGTAAGATTCCTCAAGGGAGGGATGACAAAACACAGGCATGATCACAGGGAGCCCCCAGGGAAGGACTTGGGGGGCTATAGCAAAAGGGGGTGATGGACCCTTGCCCCTTGGCTTTGACATAGCCTGAGTCCTCGTTCTGTCTGCAAGAAATTTCCTAATCTTTTGGCAGCCCTACTTCCACTGCCTGATTTAAGCCTGAAACAATGACAGAGGGTGGTGGAGCCCTGTGCTAGAAAGGGCATGTTCCCTGGGTGATCAGGCCCAAGAAAGAATACATAAAATCCTGTGAAACCTGCTTTGCTAAGAATGCTCTCAATTAAGTGATAAGGGTCCAAGCAGGAAATGAGTGTTTCCCAAAATTTTGTAGCCCTTTAGCCAACAGACCCTGACTCAGAATAAGCCCTCATAATTCTTTGCATGCTATCTATGGTTTGGTCCTTACTGGCTGACAATGATTAATGAGCTTTACCTGTATTCCTGTGCAAATTGAACCCAATAAAAGCCTTTCAAGGCAAGGGTTGTCACACTCTCCTCTTGAGAGAGTGGCTGTGCCATCCCTTTTGCTCCACAGGACTTGGTAGTCTGTGTGAATTTGTCTCATTTCTCATCCATAACGCCAAAGACACTGTGGGCTGGTGTCTGTGTCACAATCCCTGCTCACAAAGGCAATCCTCACCCCATTGTCCCTGTCCATGGGTCCTTTATACATCTTCCCCTTTTTTCTCCCCATTACCGCACTGTCCCTGCCCCTCTGTTTACTGTCATCTTCTCCTTTATTTACATGTCTCTCGTTCTTTTTTGCTCATTGGTTTGTTTTGTTGATTAGGTTCCACTTATAGGTGAGATCATGTAATATTTGTCTTTCACTGCCTGGCTTATTTCACTTAGCATAATGCTCTTCAGTTCCATCTATGCTGCTGTGAAGGGTAGGAGTTCTTTCTTTCTGCTGCATAGTATTCCATTGTGTAAATGTACCACAATATTTTGATACACTCATTTACTGATGGGCACCTAGGCTGCTTCCAGCACTTGGCTACTGTGAATTGTGCTGCTACTGTGAACACTGGGGTGCATAATTTCTTTTGAATTGATGTTTCAGGAGTTTTAGGTATAGTCCCAGCAGTGGGATCACTGGATCAAAAGGCAGTTCCATTTTTAATTTTTGAGGAAATTCCATACTGTTTTCTACAGTGACAGCACCAGTCTGCATTCCCAAAAACAATGTACTAGAGTTCCCTTTACTCCAGAACCTCACCAGTACTTGTTTGTTGATCTGTTAATGATGGTCATTATCACTGGTGTGAAGTACTATCTCACTGTGGTTTTTGTTTGCATTTCTCCAATGGCTAGTGATGCTGAGCATCCTTTCATATGTCTCCAGGTCCTCTGTATGTCCTTCTTGGAAGTGCCTGTACAAATCCTTTGCACATTTTTTAATTGGATTGTCTTCCTGGTGCGGAGTCATGTCAATTCTTTTTTTTTTTCACATTCTTTTTTTTAATGTATTTTATCGATTATGCTATTACAGTTGTCCCATTTCCCCGCTTCTCTCCCCTCCACCCTGTACTCCCTCTCCCACCCACGTTCCCCCCCTTTAGTTCATGTCCTGTGTCATATTTATGAGTTCTTTAGCTTCTACATTTCCCGTACTATTCTTGCCCTCCCCCTATCTATTTTCAACCTACATTCTATGCTACTTATTCTCTATACCTTTTCCCCCTCTCTCCTCTTCCCACCCCCCTGCTGCTAGCCCTCCATGTGCCCTCCATTTCTGTGGTTCTGTTCCTGTTCTAGTTGTTTACTTAGTTTCTTTTGGTTTTGCTTCAGGTGTGGTTGTTAATAATTGTGAGTTTGCTGTCCTTTTACTATACATGTCTTTTTCTTTATCTTCTTTTCTTAGATAAGTCCCTTTAGCATTTCATAAAATAAGGGCTTGGTGATGATGAACTCCTTTAACTTGACCTTATCTGAAAAGCACTTTATCTTCCCTTCCATTCTAAATGAGAGCTTTGCTGGATAGAGCAATCTGGGATGTAGGTCCTTGTCTTTCATGACTTGGAATATTTCTTTCCAGCCCCTTCTTGCCTGTAAGGTCTCTTTGGAGAAATCAGCTGACAGTCTGATGGGAACTCCTTTGTAGATTACTGTCCCCTTATCTTTTGCTGCTTCTAGGATTCTCTCCTTCGTTTTTACCTTGGCTAATGTAATTATGATGTGCCTTGGTGTGTTTCTTCTTGGGTCCAACTTCTTTGGGGCTCTCTGAGCTTCCTGGATTTCTTGGAAGACTGTTCCCTTTGCCAGATTGGGGAAGTTCTCCTTTACTGTTTGTTCAAATATGTGCTCAATCTGTTGCTTTTCTCCTTCCCATTCTGGTACCCCTATAATTCGGATGTTGGAATGTTTAAAGGTGTCCTGGATCCTCTTAAGCTTTTCCTCGATTTTTTGAATTCTTATTTCATCATGCTTTCCTGCTTGGTTGATTCTATCTTCCTTCTGGTCCACTGTATTGTTTTGAGACTCAGATTCCTTCCTTTCACTATGGGCTCTCCTCCACGCATCTTCCTGCATCTCTTTTATTGTAACCTGCATCCTTTCATCTAAATTGCACCCAAAATCAACCAATTCCGTGAGCTTTCGATCACCAGTGTTTTGAACTGTGCATCTGAGATTGGCTATTTCTTAGTTGCTCAAAAGGATGAGTCCTGGGGGACTGATCTGTTCTGTTGGTAACATATCTTACGTCTTTTCCCTGTCTCTCCTTTTTTTTTTTTTCCGGTCTGGTCGCTTTTGTTACAGCGGGGGACGGAGCCTTGGGTGTTCACCGGGGCTGGGCACCCTGGTTGCTAGATTGTGACACTATATGTGGGGGTGGAGGTAGGGGTGGGAGCCGGAGGGAACAATGGCGGTAGTTCCGTTCTCCTGGGCTCAGACACTTCTTTGGGATCCTGGGCTGCGAGGCTCTGGTCCACAATCGCTGCTTCACTGGGTCCGCCAGCTGCAGCTTGTGTACTCAGGGATCACCACTGCGTTCTTGCACCCCGGATGGCTGTTGCGCCGATTTCGCGCCAAATTTTCCCCAACCTCCGTGTGACACTGACCCGC